AAAAAAAAAACTTTGATGACATGGGGAAAGAGAGGAATTTCCTTTTCAGTGCTGCAAAGGTTAACAATCAGTCCTCCTTATTTGATGAATATTGTATGCTAAGATGTTCTGCACTGACAGGGAAGCAAAGCTGCAGTCTGATTTACAGTAAAAATTTATTTAGAATCCAGACAGCCGACAAAAAGCGGCTTTTAAAATTCTGACTGTGTCAAACTTGCAGGACCTCCAGAAGACCTGGGGTGGAAACAGCTCCCTGCAGACATATTCACTGCTGCGATCAAGTGTACGCCAAGTTTACCTGCAAGAGTACCTGTCATTGGCTGACATGCCGGGTGATTTGAAGATGAAGAATCATATAATTAAACAAACTCCTGATAAGCAAGCAAAAGTCCAGAGCAAACATTAATCTGCATGCTCATAAAATGAATTCCTAAAATGTCTCCAATATTTCTATCCCGTTACTTAAAGTGACACTAAACTCAGGAGTTAGATCTTACAAATACATTCAAGTATATTAACCCCTTAGTGACAGAGGCATTTTTTTTTGTTTTTTTGTCCTCATGATATAATCCACATTTTAGGCCTGAAAATGACTCCACCTCGTCCCAAAGTACGGAGAGGGGATCAGCGAATAGTTTACCGACAAAATGGCCCATGCAGGAGGAAGTGTAGGAGGGCGCATGCGCAGTAGAGATCACCAACGGGGAAGAGAGGAGAGGCGCACTGCAACAATGCACAGAACCGACAGAACCGTGAGCAAGCACATCGGACAGACACTGTGGGACACTAAGAGTCTGCACTGGATCAGAGACGGGCACCAGCGCTGCAGGAACTGCTGGAAATCAGTGGAAGGAAGAAGATGATCGGATCAAGAGGCATCACATAAAGTAAAGTAGTCATCGCTCCAAGCTCACTCCCGTGATGGACTACAATCTCATGTTTAGTTTACTACTTTATATTGAGATTGTAGTCCATCCTGGGAGTGAGCTTGCAGCAGTGATCACTTTACAACACACACAGGGACCATGGGGAACAAAAGTAGCCCCCCTCCAGAAGGAAGGACAGTGTCAGCACCAATTCAGAGATGATTTGAGGATCTACAGCCGAGTGATACACAAATAAGATTCA